GTCTCTTTATATCCCATTATAACATCAACAAAATTAATCAAAGAAAAACATCAAAATTATATGGATAGACAATTGGTGGATTCAATTTCTCAACTTGTCTCACTTTGCTTCTGATTTACAACTTAAATATGTTGTGATATTACTCCAAAATGAGAGCTATATAAATATGGTGAAACCCATTATAAAGTGCATTAATTATAGTTAGAAACTCTTATTATATGGTTTAAAAATTGATGCTTTGGCAAAGTTCATTTGTAACGCCCTGAATTTTTGTAATATTAATTATTATTGATATATGTGTATGTGTTTATATGTACGTGTAAATGTGAAAGATGTAATTTTTATTTGAATGCATAAGGATGATGTTTGTGGGTATAATGTGTATGGATGTGTGTGTGTGTATATATATATATATATATATATATATATATATATATATATAATTGAATTGGATTGGTTGGGCTGAAAATAGGCTAAGTATGGATACTGCTGCAGGGGATTCTCGCTGTAGCGAGAGGCCCTGAGCTTGAGGCATGGAACTGTGCCTTTCTCGCTGTAGCGAGAGGGCACTAGGAGAGAAGGATAAAATTGTCGCCTTGTCGCTATAGCAACAAAGCCACAGTTTAGGCTGCATTTTTTGGTACAGTCTTGCTGTAGCGAGATTCTGCAGAAACCAGAGTGCAGTTTTGTCTGAGTTTTTTGCTGTAGAGAGGGAAGGAGTCGCTACAGCGAGAATATCTTACTGCAGCGAGAGTGTTGGAACTGAAGGGGTTTTAAAAAGGGGTTTAGGGATTGAGATTTCATTTCCCTATTTCGATTCTCTCAACCAAAAATCCTATTCTACCGATTAAATTGCCTCCAAAGCTGTTCGAGAGCAAGATTGAAGGTTGAATCCATGTGGGGAACGCTTGGAGATAAGTTTTAATGGTAATGGTTTTCGTTTTTCATCCCCTTTCTCTTTTTTCATGATTTTCCTGGGTTCTCATTATTTCTTCCATGTATTTAGGCCGAAATCTGTGTGGGGAGCACTTCTGTGGTTGAATTCGAGTATGGGTCTTCAATCTAATGTAAGGAGGGACTTTACCTTATCTCTTTGGGTTTGATTGTCATGTATTTGATGAATATTGCAGTGTGAGTGAGATAGAGGGTAGAAAATATGTAATTGATGGAATTTGATGTGTTTTGTGAGGTGTAATAGCATGTGGAAACCCATGATGGGTGATTATGTGGTGTAAGTATGCTAATACTTGATGAATGAGAAATGTAAATGTAAACTATGTTGAAAGTATTGTGTGAGTAAATAAGGGCAATGTGTGTGCCGTGTAATGTGAATAAGTGTAGGCCGAGGGCCTTGTATAGTGGTGAATATTTTGTGTGTGGTTGAAATGAATTATGTTGTAAATGCATGTGAGCACTTGTGCCATGTATTGAGAACGATTATTGCGAACAAGTGTGGGCCTAAGGGCCATGTAATATGAATGAATATAGGCTTTATGTCGTCTACTGTAAAACAAATAAGGGCCTACTGCCGTGTATTATGCATGACTGTGGGCTTTATACCGTATACTGAGAATGAATATTGCAATATGTGTGAATGAGGCGTGATTAACGCCGATGTAACATGCTGTGAATGGTTCAGCGATACACTAGGGGTGTGAAAGATGAGAACGATAAAAATACCTTGGGGAAGAGGGAGTGGTGGTGACACCGACTGTGGGAGCGGGTGCACCACGGGCCATACACTCTTCTTGACTAGATCTCTGACCACTACCTTTACTGAGTGACCCGTGACTGCCCACGTGGTATCTGTGAGGCAGGGGTAACCGGTGACCATCCATAGTAAAAGTCTGTGATCACAGTGTCACGGTGAGTGTGGCTGGCGTACAGTGAGTGCACGAGATTATTGTTTGTTAATTTTGTGTGTGCGTAAACTGTTTGATGTCGTGAGTGCATCGGTGTTTGAATTAAATTGAATGAAGTAGTATTGCTGCTTGTGAATATATTTTATGAATTGTGTTAGAAATGATATAGAATAGGTGCAAGGTGAGACTCTATGCTTGTTTGTGTGTTTGGTAGTGTAGAGTACTCACCCTTACATTCATTTTTCAGATAATCAAGACGATTAGCACTGGACTTAGTGAAAGGTTGGATGGAACTACTATAAGGCTTAGCATGTTATTTGAGACTGTTGTATTGGAAATGGTCATTTAACAGTTATTTGATATAAACTTGTAGCCCTTTCTCTATTTTGAAATATTTTATGAAACTTTTATTATTCTGAATTTGTGAAATTATTATTTATTTGAAATTAAATTTAAGGTGTTACATCATTCACACCGAGCCACATCTTTATATATGTGTAAACAAATCTTAAAAGTTTTTTGTTGTACACGAGTCTTGTTTTCTGCTATTGACATTTTTTACAAAATCAAACTAAATTACTTAAGTGAAGCAAATAAACTAATATAAACTTCATTTCTTCAAAGAGGTTAACAGGTACTGTCATTATCATATAAAAGATACAAATCTAATAACAAATTAATACAAACTTCATTTCTTATACTAATCTTCTCGTTACATGTTGTTTACCCATGACATTGACATTTCACCATACAAAGCATACAAATTTCATATATAATTGCCTATGACAAAATTGCTACACCTATTACAATTCTCCCTTTCAATCTTCCACTTGCGTTATTCTTTTGCATCTTCTGCAGCTTAAGATTTGATTGCTCAAGAACATGATTAGAGACTTGGCATTGACATATGTTAACATTGTACTCTATGTTAGCCTAATCAAAGTAATTACAAATACCACAATAACAAAAATACATTACCTTCTAGTTTGGGCAAGTCTAGAATCATCACGCAGGTTCCTTCTACTCTTTGATACCATAAGCATTACAACATCTTCACATTCACAAAACCTATTTTATGCATTTGAGGTCAACCTTTGTGATTTAAATGTTGTCATGTTCGCATTTGCTAGAAAAACTCTTATTCTCTTCGTGTGATTGTGTGTTTTTTTCTAAAACTTTGGTTCTCTTCCTACGATTGTGTCTATGTGTTGATGAGCAAACGCTAGGAGAAGTTAGGGATTTCATAACCCTAACTTTCCCAACCTAACGAGCAAACCCAACATGTGCATTGCAAGTCATTTACCACTACAACCCCTCAACATTTGAAAAGAAAGCAAGCAAATATTACATATGTAAATACTTACATGGACTTTCATTTGCTTAATTAATATGTAATATTTTTTTTAATAAAAGAGACTAATTATACATATATAGTAAATTCTATGGTACTCTGTATGATGATAGGATATTTTATGTTCTCTTACATGTAGAATAATTATGAACATTAACTTTATATCAATAAATAATGAGGTTAGACACATATACTTTGAAAAAAAAATGTAACTAAAAATAATTAAATATTAATATTTTAAAAAGGAGCATGATCTTCTCACACTAGTGTAAGTAAAAAAATTCTTACACTTGATATGAACATTTCATTTAACTTACATCTAACGAGTTATAATTTATTACTTCACTTACCATTAGATGTAAGTTAAATAAAAAGTTCAGATCTAGTGTAAGAGTTTTTAAACTTACAATAACGTGAAAAGATCCTTCTCCTTTTAAAAATTATATTATAATAAAATAAACATAATTATATAATATTTTAACATGTATCCAACTATGACTAAATTAAACTGATAATCTCTTTGTTATTGTGTGTTAGATTTTAAAATTTTATGTATTAGTAATAAATTTCTATGTATAAATAAAAGTTATTAATTAGAAAAAAATTAATTAATTAGAATGTAAAATATTAGTAAAGTTATTCTCTTTTGTAATTGGCTAAATATATAGTTTAAAATTAAAATTAGTTAAAAATAATATGTAAATTAACTTGCTCTTTTTTAATAAATTTCTTTTACCTTTGTTAAAGTCAATCTATATTTTAAAAAGTAAAGTTGTTATTTAATTTTTATTTTTATTTTTTTTTAAAAATTCTCCTAATACTTTTCACTTATAAAAATATCTTTTTTAATTTAGAATTTATTTTTCTAATTTTATATTAGTTATTGATATTTAATTCAAATTTTTTTGACAGTATAAAATAAATTGAAGTAAATTATATTTTAAAGTTATTTAAATTTATTAAATGTTTATTATTTTGATATAAGTCACAAATATTTTTTTTAAATTTATTTTTTAAAATAATTTTATTATACATATATAATTATATAAAAATATAAATTTTATTTTTTAATAATTAAATTATATATATTTATTATAAAATAAAAATCCAGTGGACTGCATGGCTACTAAGTTAGTGAATTTACAAATTGTGACTTGGTTTCCGTTTCAAGTCTCAACAAAGAGAACAGACTCCGCATTTAAATGAAATTCGGCACTTGAGGATCTAACTGCGCAGCCATCCTTAGATCAAATTGGGCATGAAGAATGGTGCTAATTAAAAAGTTTAAAATAGATTTTTTATTAAAAAATATGATAATATGCTTTTGATATTTTTAAATAAAGAAGAGGATAGTATATTTTTTATAAAATTTTTAATATACTTTAACCTAATTTTATTCATTTTTTATATATGATAGTCCTTAGGATATAAGTTAGCAAAACGCTGAAACAATTGACAGATAACCTTATTATAGCCAAAATCTTATCAGAAATGCAGTTGAAGGTAAACGCAGTACTGTTCATAAACGTGCACCCTTTTTTCTCTCTCCCTCAGATAAATCAAACTACGTAAACAAAAGTACTTATCTGTCATTTACAAATTAGTGTTATTAAAATAAGTGATCAAAATTAAAATCAATTATCAGCAAAACCCAGAAACAAAACATGTCAACCGTACGATGTGTTATTTTTCTTTTAAAGAAAGTTTAACCAAACGAGCCAATGTAAAAAAATAAAATCTAACCCAAATTTCTGGGAATGTGTTTGGGACCCTTTCTCTCTCTTCAATCTTTCTTCTCTTTGTAAAATTATATTTCCTTGAGTTTCCAAATTTGCAGTGGCACATAAGAACCCCATAGGCACATGCACCTTTGTATTTGAGGGCTTGATACCCTTTCTTTGGTTCCCTTCCTTCAATTTCCCCTAAATAAAATTTAAAAAAAAAAAACTGTTCCTTTTTTGTGTTATTTTTTCAACATTCATAGTTTCTCTCTCTTTAAAAAAAAAAAAAAACAAACGAAGGGCCTCTCCACCCTTCTCTCTCTCTACAATCCCTTCACTTTGATTTTCTGTCTTCAATGCTAACCCATGATCCTCTACATGTAATCCCACCATACCTAACCTAAAACCCTTTTGATCTCTCGTACACACACCATGTCTCAAGGATCTCCCCCTCCACCACCACCTTCTCCTCCGCAAGACGCCAGCCAACCCTTGCCGGAACCCGATTCACGCAAGGAGGAAACCGCCGCCACCACCACCACCACCGGCGCCGCCGATGCCGCTGCCACAGTTCCTCCTGCCACTACCCGTACCCGCCCCTCCCGCGCCTGCACCATTCGCACTGCCGCACGGCTCTACGCGGCGTCGCAGCCGGCGATCGAGCGGAGGCCGAAGGCGGCGAAGAAGGAGGCGCGTCGCGAGAAGTCGCTGTCGCCGCAGCCTCAGCAATGCAGCAAGATCGTGACGGCGCTGGTGGAACCGCCTCCACCGGCGCAGTTGCCGCGCTATAACCTACGGTCAATGTGGGAGTTAGCTTCAATACTCAATTTCTTGCATGTGAGCTTCAAAGCTTTGATCGTTGCGACTTTGATTGGGTTTGTTGTGCATTTCGTTTATCTAAAGTTTTGTGCTTTGTGATTGTTGTTGTTATTGCAGCTGTTTAGGCCTCTTTTGAATATATCAGTAGAATTTTCTGCTGAAGAGTTTGAGACGGCTCTTCTCACCCCCAATGACACGTTGGGTGATATACATATGCCTTTGCTAAAGGTTGGTGCTTTCTCCTTGTTTCCTTTAGATTGTTCTTTTGTACTGCATTTCTTCTTTCTTTTATCAATGTAGGTGCTAAGTGCTAGTCATTGTGGGTTATGTTAGTTTTGAGCTTGTTGTTAGTCGTTAGATGTATGCAGGACGTTCCATTGTTATGTTTTTGTTGAGTTTGATTGATTTTGCAATGGTTGTGGTTTGTGAATATTTGATTTGAAATTATAGTTTTATCCTAGTTCAGTTGAATGCCATTGTCTACATGTAAGAGAAATTCAGAGTTATGAAGTTGTGTTCTTGTTAGTGTGGGTATTAGGAGGCTACTGTGGTTGAAAGAGAGTAGAGTACTCGACAAGCGTTGAGTTTTGTTAGTGTAAGCTTGAAGCTAGTCATATGTTGTAGGAATGTAGTTAAAATGACAAAGGTGAGAACTTGTCTCAATTTTCTTAATGAATAAGTTGAATCCTGACAATAAATTTGACTACAAGTTACTACCCAACCGTTGGAACTTGGAATGATTCTTTATTCAATGGGTGGCTGAAATGTTCAGAATCTGAGAATTGATGAAAGGAACCAAAAACTGAACACTTGCAAATATGGATATTGTAAGTGCAATACTAGTTTGATGGACTCATGCAATGGCAACGATATGGTTGACCAATGTAACATTGCGAGATGTACATGATTGTTTTGTGACTGAGTTGAATGTTTTGACAGAAATTGGTAACTACAAAGCAGGTACTTGATTGGATGTTTTTGTTGTACATATGAGAATCATGGTAGTTAAATCGATATTCAAATTGTGGATTGGAAAATCTATTTTCTGAATTGTGAATAGAATTATATCGTAAATTGTAAGATTCATGACCAATTGTTAAAAATATAATAAAAAAGATTCTAACATAAAGAAAAATTAAATTCATCCATGTATTGACAATTTTATAGTCAAATGCTCCATTGCATAACTAATAAAATAAAACATAGTACAAAGATTCAAGTCACATTGGCCACATTGACACCAAAAAAGGGCTTTGACTGCATAAATCATCCATATATACCTTCAAATCAGCCACAATGACACAAAAAAGGGATTGTGATTGCATAAATCAGCCATATATAAATAAGCCACAACAGCACAAGAAAAGGGCTGTGAATGCATAAATCAGCCATATATATCTTCTAAAAATTTCAAAAAATAATAGCAACCAATAGCAAGTCACTACTTCTAGTTTTAGACCCTAAAAATATTCAAAAGGTCCAAATTCCAAATACATAATGTAGTTTCCCTTCCCAATATCAATATTACTTAGCTCATCCTCATTTTCCAATGGCAAAGGCTCTTCTTGTTCTTCTTCCCCTTCCTCCCCATCTCTACATGTCTCTTCAATTTTACTCTCAATTCCAATTATAGATTTTCCTTTCTTACTGGCCCTAACATTTAAGTTTCTTGGACCTATAAAAAAAAAAAAGGCATTGAGCATGTTAATATATATTTAAATTTTAGTTTATAATTATATTGTTTTTTTGTTAAACAATTACTTCTCTTCCTTTTCTTGCTTGGAGCTCCTTCATCAAAAGATAAATACATCATGTTTCATTCATGCTCGTGAGTGTTAAACTTTGGACTTCTGCTGAATGTCTCTGATTTAGAGGTCCATTTCAGTGTTGGAGGGTAGTATGCAACCATTAAATCTTGTTTATTCCTGTTGCTCCTGAATACAAAATAATATGCTGTACCAAATGGTTACAAGTTCCAAAAGTACCTGCCGAATTTTTTTACTGGGTTTCAGCTATTATGGCTATTCCTAATTCTCTGAGTGCAACTGCAGATCTATCTCAAAGATAATCATGTTCACTATTGCAAGATCCTGATCAGTTGGTATAGGTGGTTAGATTCTAGAAAATTTTGAGAACAAGAGTCTTTGTTGTACCTTATTCTCACTGCAAGGTTTCTAACTTAAATTATAGTTTCCTACAGATTTAAATATTGTGCGAAAATTGTTCAATAAAATGTTTGAGTATTTAGCTCTATATTGAAACTCCTGTGCTATGGTGAGAAGGTATTTGTATTAGAGGCAGGGCATATTCCTAGTCCCTGATCTGATAAGTTTGTGGATGGAGATTAGTTGATCAAAACAGTGGCACTTGAACAGTTGATATTATCTAATTTTTTAAATTTAGATCTTGGGTTAAGTTTTATAATAAAAGCAATTTTGCATGTCTTTTACTTGTAGATGGAGATAAATTGACCTAAACAGTTGCACTTGAACAGTTGGTGTCATCTAATTTTTTTAAATTTAGATTTTGGGTCTGTTTAATGTTAATGGTGATACGCTTCCAGATCATGCAGAGCTGCTTTAAGCTCTGTATTTTAATCTTCAATAATACAATGAACTCTATGCCAATATAAAAGCTATACTTTCCAAGGTCCTTGATCTATTTGAGTTTTGTGCATAGATTGGCTACATAAATATAAATCTTGCTTAATCTCTTTTATGCATGGGTGGGTAGATATGTTGTTAAATGAGTGAGAGAAAGTCAATGGCTTTTAATCCAGGGTTTTAGGGCAATGATCTCTCTCAATGGTCATTCCTATGCAAAATCAAAACTTTCTTCTGTATATAATGTCTCATATTTGCAAAATTGCTGCTGATCTGATTATAATATTTATTCAATCCTTTTATAGGCCATCCCTCCCATTACACGAATGGCACTCTCACGTGATACTTGGATAACTGTATTATGCAGAAAATTGAGAGATTGGTGGCATTGGGTAATAAGACATTTTTTTGTTCAGCAAGCTGATAATTCAAAGTAATGTATATTTTTTAGTTTCAAGAGTTGATATAAAACGGAATTTTAATGTAGGTAGCTGATGGGGATCTTCCTATTGTTGCTTCACATGGGTAAGTAGCAAACTAGTCTTGCAATGTCTTAAATCCCATGTTGTTAAGCTTTATGTGTTTGCCAAGTCTCATGTTATGCTAATATGACAGGGCGGAGGTTGAAGTCTATAAAGCACTTGATCCAGGGGTTCGTGTGGTCATCTTAAAAGCATTATGTGACATTCGTGTTGAGGTATTCTTACGATTTAATGTTTATGTATCCATATTTCTTATAATCCTTTAGCTTGAATAAGTGAATGTCAGTGTGGTAGGATGAGCTCGCTCTCCTTGATGTTGGCTTGGATCTCATTTGACTGTTAAGAAACTTGGGTCTAATTCACTCTCAAAAGTCAGCTCATAAGAGAAGGATTGCCCTAACCCTTATAAGGAGTATTCTGCCTCTATTCCTAACCAATGTAGGACATCTAACACCCCCCCTCACGCCTAGAACTAGACATCTGGTGCGTGAAATCTGCAGGACTGGATATCTGCACAGGTGGATCCAATAGGATTGGACATCTATAGGCAGCCAATGTTCAAACTGAATAGGCTCGGATACCATGTTAAGAAACTTGGGCCTTACTCAATCCCAAAAGTTAGCTCATAAGAGAAGGATTGTCCTAGTCCTTATAAGGAGTATTCTGGCTCTATTCCTAACCAATATGAGACATCTTAACAGACATTATACAGTTTATTCATGCTAAGCACTGAATTAACTGCTGTGATGATCTATACATGATATTTTTCCTTTTATCACTATTTTTGTTTTGTTTGTTGCAACCACCCTTTTTAGTTTTACTTTTATTTAATCCTCTCTCTCTCTCTCTCTCTTGCATTAAGCAATTCCTTGTGCATGTGTACTTAACGAGGGTATGATTGTCAGCCTCAATGGTTTTCCTTGTTATATTTTAGTGGACCAATGGATATATGTCTAACTAGGCCATCCTATTTTGCAATAACTTTCTTTGGGGAGTTTGAAGGGGTGTGTGTGTGGGGCGCTTGTAGTAGAGATCCCAGTTCCCAAGATCAAACCTTAGTGAGTGCATCCATGTAGGCAGGTTGAGGGGCAAATCACTCATAGCCTGATTGATGCATCTTACTTTGATTATCCCTTTTGGTAGTGTGTATGAGTAAATTGGACTAATTTTTCACAGCAAGAAGATATCCGGAGTTACATTGACAACTCCCTCAAACATGGCGTTCAACTTTTGACATTCCGTAAGGAGCGTGTTGGTGGCGATTCTCACGGAATTTCTTATTGGTAATATACTTGTGCTTTCACTTCAACTTATTCAAAATTTCTTACTGATGGTGATTCACATAAAATTTCTTATTTGTAATATACTTGCACTTTCACTTTAACCTGTTCAAAATTTGAATTGTCTTTGGAAAGTTAATGTACATTTAGCATTTGATTAATGCAGGTATGAAGATGACCCAATCATTGGTCATAGGTTATATCGGGAAATAAGGAAAACTGAAGTGGTTCAACTGAAGAAAGGGAAACCAAGGGGCTCCCAGGTTCTTTCTAATACATCATATCAGTGGGAAACAGTTGCTACCAATTTTGATGAATTTCAAGATGTTTCTGTAAGTTACTGAAAGCTAGTCTATCTATGTTCAGTGGTCCTGTTTTAACAAACGTTGAGTGTTTTTCTGCAAGCTGGGATTTTTGTGTTTAGGTTTTGACCTAGATAAAGAATCACGATAGATTAATAAGTAAATTAATTTGATGTAATATTCAGAGTCACAAATTGATACTAATGTAATGATTTATAAACCCTAAGTTAGAAAAATGAACCTATTGAATAGGAAACTGTAATTTAGTAGAAAATCCAAAATTAAGTATTGTCCATGAGTAAAACTATTAGATTCACTAATTATTGATCAGACATATTCATAGAACAAAAATGAAGACCATAATTGTTAAAATCATATGATATGCTTACAAACATTACTTATATTTTTCATTTTTAAAAATGAATAATATTTTCTGACATATCAATAATCAAATTGAAAAAACTTCTGGCTGAGAAGTTGAATTAACTAGTGAATGAAAATTACTCTAAGTTTTTGTCAGTTTGTATACTCAATTGAAACCTTTACATACTACATCTGCTAAAGAAAAGTTTATTTTGCAAGAAAAGAAATTTATTGAAATGGAGTAAGTACTGGCAGTATAGCACATTCTGGAGGACACTCCTGCATAAATAGGAGACAAGAAGAAAAGAATGAAAAGTTATCCTGTTTGAGATTTTCAAGAGAGAAAATCTTGAGAATAATCCCTCAGATGCAAGAAGCATAATTTACTCTCAAAACAGAAGAGGTGCTAAAACGTGATTTCTGAAATTCCTGGCATTTCTGGCCCACCTTTCATCCAAATGAAAGTGACTCACATTACTACAAATTGCAAAATATTTTGCCTGTCATTGTGTTATGACTTTGAGAACATTTAATCATAGGTGTCAATCCTGCTCCCCAAAGATGCCATAATAGGATAGTGGATAGCCAGTTCGTTGTGATACCTGTGATTATGGATACACAATAAATAATTTATGCTACACAGATAAATGCTCCAAAATAAAAATAACCAAAATTAAAGACACCACTGAATTGGAGCAGTAATTTTTCATCACAGATGATACCAGAGCACTCCTCCCTTTCATCCATCCTGTTTGAATCCTATGTTTCACAAAACCCTCTATTTCTATGTTTTTGATGTATGATAGACCCAACAAAGCTGATATTTGTTCATTTTTAGATGATAGTATTGACCATTATTTTCTTTTGTTCCATTTTCAAAGTTAGGGAAAGAAATAAATGAATCACCTAACTTCCCACCTTTTTTTGTATCGATTGCAACTTATTTATTTTTTAATTGAGCTTCATCAGTTCATCTTATTTTATTCATTCATCTGGGTGCATAGGAGAAGCTTTTCTCAAGTAAAAACAGAACGGAGGCTTCTGTAGGGAAAAAGGTGAAGATAGACATGCTCCCTGAAATTGAGAAAGTTCACAAGGTACTTTATTTCTATGTTTGTTTACCACACCCTTTTTTGGGTGGGTGGCATGGTTGTGAAAATTGAGAAGATAGGAGCATTCTGAGGATTGAACTTGAAATTATGTTTGGTCTTTTTATCTCGATGAATGGTCCTTGAAGAATCCTACAGTGATCTTAATTGACACAATTGGTCTGTTTATAATATATGTGCAGAGAAAGGAAAGGTTGCTGAAAAAACAACACAGACAAGCTCTTCTTCTTGACAATTTCTTGGGTGTAGATGGGCTTGCCCCAGGGCGTTCACTTCGTGACCGGAAACCTGTTACCTACACTTTCGGTAAGAACAAGAAGAATTAATCTACTATAACCAGAGCCAACATTTTTGTGATGTTGGTAGTTTGTGCTCACATTACAGAGTAGTTTGCATTTTGTTTCCATAGTTGGAGTTGGCCTTTCATTCTCCTGTTACTTTTTACATGAACTGCTGTAGTTTATTAGACATCATACTTTTTGCACATTTGGCTTGTTGTGGGTATGTTAGGGCCCAGGCACCTTCTGGTGCAAATAGCCTGAATATGGTAACCAATATCTATGTCATTCTTCTTAGGGAACGTCTGGCTTTAGTAGGAACTAGAAAACCTTTCCCCACAGATCAGGGGGCTGTGGTTCACAAGTACAGGGATAGTTTAGTGGGACTTTTTGATGGCTGACCTTGGTTTTTGGATCACCAATGAGTCATTTGAACTGATAAATGGATTTTGTGTAACTACCTAGGTCAGCCTTTTTATTTCGGTAGTACAACATATTTTTTAATGAAAAAAAGGTAATATTGTCATTAAGCTTTATTTTAATTGTACCCTCCAATGATAGTGTGGAACTGTAGTAAGGCAATCTGAAAATGAATAAGTTGACGGTTTCATTGGGCATACACGAGGCAACTTTATCCTTCAGCTTTCTGTTTAGTGATAACTATGACAAAAATTCACCTGACCAACCTAATTTTCTGTTTGGTTGGACAAGTGCAACTTATTTCTTGAGTATCATTATGTGCTGATTTTACATTGACCTAACTTTTGATGCAACTTTCATTTCAGATGATTACGATCGATCCATCAATGAGGCAATTAAGATAACCAAGTATGAAATTCATCTTTTGATCTTACATTCTTGTGCCTTTATTTGGCTGCCTTGATGTGTTTGTATATTTTCTTTTGATATTTTATATATCAAGAGAATAGGGGTCAATCATGTGCATTTGTTATGATTTGTACTCATGGTATAGCATCTGTTTCTTCCTTTATCAGACGGAAACCACCATCTCCAGAACCTATACTCGGCAGGAGAGAAGCAGGAGCAAAACCTGAAGCTTTAACTAATGGTAACTGGAGTGGTCCTTCACATGCACCTCAACATCTAAATTTTGATATGCCATCTCCTAAATCACCTGACTTTGATGATGTGGAGGAAGAGAATCAAAACGATGCATTGGATCGAAGGTGTGTAGTTTTTTTTTTTTCTCCCTTCAAATCAGTGTGGATGACTTATATCTCATTTTCACTGACGAGCATTAATTCACATTAGCAATCGTAGAAGACAGAGGCCTAAAAGGTATTCAGAGAAAGAGTTTGTTGAAGCAGTATCAGACAATGAGGCTGACTTTGACAGTGATGATGATATTGTTGGAGAAGCTGTATATGATGAAGAATATCTCCGGAAACGTAAGCAGAGGAGGGTTTCTAGTAGCTCTGCCTCTGAAGGAGATGAAGAATATCATTGGGATGAAGATAATGTTGAAGAAGAAGAAGAAGATGATGAAGAAGATTCCTTAAGTGTTAGTGAAGATAGTGACAAGCCTCGTAAATTCAAGCAACTGTCAGGTCGTACTAGGAGGGAAACTAAACTCAGGTCTGTGGGTGAGATTCAATCAGGCCTGAGACGCAGTAAGAGGGCAACAAGAAACCGTATAAATTACCGACAGTACGACATGTCTGATTCAGAAACAGAGTTTATTATACCTGATAAGTCTAATGTATCAGATGAGCACTCAGAGCCTAGTGAGAATGGGGAATATATGATGGAAAGTGAAGATTCAGATGGAAACGATGATGAAGATCAAGAAACCAAAGTAGATGAGCCTGTTACTTATCCTGCAGAAGGAAACAGCCAATATCCTGCTGTAGAAGAGAATGAACAAAACCAAAATCAGCCTCCTGAAAAATCAAGTAGTCCTGGTCAGGAGGAAGTTGAGGGCACGGGAAAGAGACGTTTCCTTGATTTGAATGAGCTGGCTCCTAGCTCAGGTTTTGATGATGGTCCAAATACAACAACGAAAGATGAAGGCAATGATGATTACTGAAGCTTCCCCTTCTGCTTGATAGTAAGGATGGTAGTTTTCTATCGGGGAAGCCAAGTGACGTGTATGATAATAGAACTATAAATTTTGTTATATGCCTCAAAGGAAGTTATGAGCAGATTTCTTCCTATGGCAATCTAAGCAGCCCTTGGTGCATGATTTGCCACCAGAAGCAGCATGATACTGAGTTGTGTAGATTAGGTAGTCATTTTTTAGTATTTAGTACTTCTACATTCAAAGGGTCTACGAAAATGAATGAGAATTTGTTGGGCGTTATTTGGCCCATCCAATCGGTGTACAATAACTGTTAACAAGTACTGTAACTTTAAATAGATATGGCTGTTAGATTATCAAGCCCTGTAGTTCTATTTTTTTTTTTCATGGACTCGATAGTGGTCTTCTTTTGAGCCATAGGGTTGACCGCCTTTCTTTGTTAATCTGATCAGATTAAAAAAAATGGTCTTTCACTTTTGATTCCTCTACAGAATTGCTTGTTTATGGGACTGTTCTCTGATTGGATGTTTTAAGTTGTTTTCTTAATTTCGTTGGGTTCTATTCGTAATTTTGCTTTAACATAATCCTTGTTTTGGCTATAAAAGAATTGTTTCAATTGCGTGTTGGAGTATAATCTGCTACTTTGAAAGGATTGAAAAAATTCAAACAGCCAAAGAAACAATTGACACCGTAAAAATAACTTTATTTAACATCAATCTTATTAGTTCTTCCTATTACTGACGTTAAATAAGTATTATCGGATAACTTCACACTAGAAGTGAATACTTCGTGTAGGATTATAAAATGATGTCACTTTAAAGTCTGGAATTTAATAAGACATATGACTTTTAAGTAACTCTTTTAGTGTTTAATTACCAAAACTTTTCACTAAATCTCTCTTTTTTTTATCCATTTTCACTTAGTCTCATTTTCTATCTTCACCGGTGAAAGTCAACAACAAACATTGATCAAAGTTTGTTAGAAAAGGGTTGCATTGCAACATTTATAGAAGTTATGAACCCTAAACCATTATTATTATATTATTTTAAAATAAATTAGTATGTGATGAAGCTTTGGGATTAACCATGGAAAAAAGTAGTTAAATGATGTCTGTGATCTAGTTTTTGTCCTATTTACGTGTTGTTTTGGTCTATTTTGATAGTTTTGCGTATTGTTGTGTAGTATACATAGATGGTCTCTTGCATTTTAAGCTTTTATTGAATATCTATTCATTGATTGTGTCTGACATTGATTTGGTTTCATGGATGTGGTCACCAAATGTTATGTGGTTAGGTAGGTCTAGATACCCCTTACTACGTGCTTCTTTTTTGGATGTGAATGTATAGTGTGGTAGAGTATGCGTTTTGTGCTATAGTAATATTTTATATTTTATCATATAAATAATGTTGTATATTACATTTTTGTCCAACCATGAACCTGACAACAATACACATGCACCATGGAGGCAATTTGAAGCAACAAGATGATAGAAGTGTCTAATTTATTTGGGGGTAAGGTGGAAACATGGCTTGAAATTGATCATGAGATGTTAGATGTCTTTAGTTTTTCAAACTTTAGTGCAATGTTAGGTTATCGTGAATTGAATGATGTTTTCTGGCTAGTTCCTTGTGAAAAGTAGGACAAAGGGTTTAAAAGGTAGCTCAAAATGGTGGCTGCATCAAGGAGAAACAAGGATGATATTCGTGTTTACTATGAGCGCGCTGCATTTGAACCCAACTTGGAAATGGAAAAATTGTTGAAATTGTGAGAAGTAAAAAGCAGAACTTGTGGAATACAATGTTGAAGCTGAACATGTGCAAGAAGAACCTCAGGCTAGAACATTACAGATCTTGTAGAGGTCTAAACAGAAGTTGCTATAGTGAACATAGGGAAAAATGAAATGGTGGTGGAAAAGAGAGGTAAGAAGGTTAGGAATGCTAAAGCTAAGGGTAAGGGAAAGATAAATAAAGGTAAAGGCCTAAAGGGTAGAGGAATATCAAAACAAAGACTATGGTGATTGAACCAAACTCAAAAGATGAAAATGAAAGGGATCTAGTATGTCTAAGGTGAACTTATAAAAATACCAAAGCTAGAGAGAACAACGATGATTCATGGTGTTTTAAATAGTTGCAAACTCTAAAATCAGTAAACCAATCTTCATTAACATAAACCAATATTCCAACAAAATTAGACGAAAATTTAAATTTTGTTTTAGAATACCTATATAATTCCATGAAAGAAATCAAATTCTTTTTTTTTGTAGAATTTGTATTAGTTGCACATATAAAATAAAAGTTTGGACCTTGAGAAGTTTCAATTACAGTTAATTGAATAAATATAACATAGCCAGCAGTTTTGACTTCAGACTGCAGAAATCTATTCATCCAACTGATTTGATTTGAACCATTTTAAATAGAGAAGCTTTTTATCATTCCTTGTTGATTGTCACTCTTTAATCTTGCATAAATCAACTTGAAGTTGAGTTCCAACTTGCAAGCATTATTTCTCTTTACCACTCATAACCATCACCCTTAGCCATTATTAGCCATCAACCACTATCCTCTCTCTCTCTCTCTCTCTACAATTGTGCACCTACAAATAAAATCAGTGAAAACAATTGAAAGTGATTTTTGAAACTGATGAATGAGAATTTAGAATCTACAAATAAAATGAGTGAAACTTTATTTCTACGTGTAAAAGGTAATAAAATTAATAGATTAGTTTGATAGATTACATTGTTGTATTTAAAATATTAAAATTAACTAATTTTTTATAAATTTTTTAAGGACTAATTTTATTGACTTTCAGAGTTTGACCTCTATTTTGTAAGAAGTAATGTCTCAAGTATAATACAAATTTTGTATTTAGCATCTATGACAAAACTTCAGAGAGTAGTAGAATGATAGGAGTTGCAAAATTTGGTAAAAAAATGTGCATGATCTGGGTCACAATTTAATGCTAATATAAATATGGAGAAAGATCTTCTTATATTAGTGTAAGTTTAAAAATTCTTACACCTAATATGAATCTTTCATTTAATTTAATTTTAACAGCCAGTGAAGTAAATTATAACTATTTAGAAAGGCTCATATTGTATGTAAGAGTTTTTAGACTACACCGGTGTTAAGAAGATCCTGCCCCTATAAATATTACCAAGATTATGGATAACAAGTCATAATCTTGACAAATGACTAAAACCACAGATTAAAGCATATTTTAGTGCTTGTATAAAGGTAAACAATATTTACAACAAATGTGAAGTCTTTAGAGTTAAGATCTTGTATATGTTATAACAATGTTGGAAGAGATTAGGTGTCATGTTATTAAAACTATCAAACAATAAGCTAACGTTATCTTTATGCCAAGGTCATCTTCCCCTAATATAGGTTAGCAAATTGAAAAAGAAGGAAAAAGAAACTAATAAATGGACTCTTGTTGGTTAGGTAATAATATTTGTAATCATTGTTGTATATTTAATTATGTAAATAGTAATGTTAATAAAATTATATACACGGTTAGGTGATGATGATGAGAACACATTTGAAGTCTGATGGTGACTAACTCATGTTGCTATACACTTAGGGACACATGCGGATTTTGGCAATTAATTAGTAATATTTTGGTAACAAGAATATAAGATACATTATTTTGCTCTTCATTTAGGCATGTCATGCATGCATGCACTAGCAACAATAACATACAAGAACGGAAAACTATTTTGACTTTGAGAGTTAGTTTTTGTGGGTTTTTAGATGAGATAGAGAGGTTTTATAAACCCTCCTAGGTTCATGTTTCAAGCTCCTCCAATTTGAAGGATTTTTTTATTAACCTTCCTTATGCCTTTATTTTTTCCCTATCATCCTAAATTCTTTCACTCTTCCTCCCTCCAAACTTCCAAATAAAGCCAAAGAATACAACTATCACATGGTTGAGTATAGCTTATGATTCAGCAACATATGAATACTTGACATCATTATTGCAAGGCATGCAATATTAGGAGAAGATAAATCATATTTCACCTGTTTCACCATTAATAATGAGATCTTTCTGAAAATCCAAAAAATAAAGAAAAATGACAAGGAAAAGGAATGATAACTCAACAAAACTATATAAGTTAAGAAAAAGTTGAAAGATTTCAAATATTTTGTTTGTGCCCTGTGTACAAGAAACAAAGGTTAAAAGAATTTTAAATAGCTAATGCAGCAAAATAAACTGCAAAAGATGGTGTCAATAGTAATGCAACATTAGTTAAAGGAATTGGACTAGTAAAAGGTCCAAGTAATGCATATGCACTAAAAGTGACTAAATTGATCAACATATACAATTTTATAAACAAAAGTGGATATCCCATCTTGATTAAATATATTAAGATTGAGATACAATAACTACACTCTCCTATTTCTTTCATTGTCGAAAGTAAAAAAAAGTCAAATTTGACATAAAAAAAATTAAAGTTTAAACAATATTTTAGTCCTTAAAAATATCACGACTTTTAGATTTATTTCTTATAAAAATTGTATTTAGTTTTAGTCCCTAATATATATATATATATATATATATATATATATATAAGAGATTTTAATGAGGGACTATAATCACATGCTTTTGTTAAATATAGAGACTAAAATTGAATAAAATATTTTAAATATTTTCTTCAACGCACTCCCTATAATTGGTCAATCTTTTAAAAAATGAAAGTAATTTGTAAAAAAGATAATTTTACAAGATAAGTACTTTAATCAATCACATAGTATGCTAAAAAGATTGTATTAGTAGATATTCTCTTTCTAACAATTATTTATTTATTCTTGTATTTATTTTGTTAATATCTTAGTTCTAAATATGAAAATTAACTTATACTCACTACTTTTAAAATTTAATGTACTTTCACCTTTGACATGCTAAAAATGCAAAGCAACATTACCAAAATCAATACAAAATACTCCTATGAAACAAACTTGCATAATAATTCTCAACGTACCAAAATTACAAGTGTATCAAACTTACAGAGAATCAAAATAAAATAAAATTAAATTTGATAAAGGAAAAACTATAGTAAAAAAAATAGCCTTCCACCAAAACAAAAATTTATGATAACAAACTTGCATAACTATTTACAATGTACCAAAAGTTAGAAATGCATCAAACCTATAAAGAATGAAAATCAATATGTGCCAAGGAAATTTGTAAAAATATATCATTTTATAAGATAGGTACTTTAATTTTTTTTAAATGAACCAATCACATAGTGTGCTAAAAAGAATGTGTTATTAGACATTTTTTCTTTCTAATAATGGTTTATTTTTTCTTGTATTTATCCTGTAGAAACCTTAGATTTATATGAAAATTAAGCTAGACTCAATACTTTTAAAAATAATGCAGTATCACATTAAACATATCAAAAATGGAATACAATATTACCAAAACCAATTATAAAATACCCCAATGAAGAAAACTTGCATAATTATTTACAATATA